TGGCAACCATCGGACCCCCATTTTCGTGAAGGACTAAAAACATTTAACAAATATTCAAAAAACTCAGATCTATTTTTGTAATTTATTTATCTACTTCTGTTGTGTTTAGTGTTTATTTGTTGAGATGCCGCAATTATTTTGTTATTTCAAAACAGTCAGTCTTGTTGTTCATCTAATTAATATTTTATTGAAATAACAAAAAATGCTCTGCAATTCTCATTTCTAATAAAATCATCTAATCCGTTTAAATCTTCTTTCTTTTCACTTATTTAGCGTAACTTTACAGCATCCATATATTAGCACGCTTTCGAACCTTATGTTATGTTCGTCTGGTCTTGGGATGTTACACAATCAACAACCTGTTCAAGCTTCCAGAAAGTCCCCCTTTGACCAAAGTTATGCCCGATATGCCCAAACATCAATGAAGATGTCATGAAAAAGATTGAGTGAATATTCCGTTCTTGGGTAACACAAAAGGAATCGCAAAAAGAGCTGGCACGAGATCACTTTTGTTTTTGTAAAAAATCATGCACTGGAATTTAAGTCAAGTATTTCGAAAAAAAAAACAAAATTACTGCGATTTTCCGACAAGCATTCGCCAACCCGATTAAATGTGTTCCTTCACAACATGAGTTCCTTCACAACATGTGTTCCTTCACGATTAAATGTTTGTTGTAACAAACGAAACCAAGAAACAAGAAACTATTTTGCAGAAAAAAAAATCAAAAATGTGACACGTTTATAGGTGCGGACGTAAAATTTAGAAAAACTACGAAATTAATGTTCAAACTGTTTGCTACAAAACAAGTTGCAGCATATTTTGGTTCAATAGTTTAGGGTGTTTAATTTCCCATAATCTAGTTATTATTATGAAAATGTGTTAAAAGCTGGAGGCGTTGGAATTGAAAAGCATTTCAGTAGTTTATTGTTGTTGTGGAAACGACGCGAGTAAAACTAGAATTAATAAAAATATGAAAAGAACACAATTGACAGCGCTGGATAGTATGTATATTTAATTAAACATCCATGTAAAAAATTCTCGCAGTCACTATTATCTGCAGCACTTTTTGTAGTGGAATCCTTTATTATGTATCTAAGAGGACAAGGTTAATATGAAACATTCAATATGTCCGGCAACAGCAATGGGGTCAAACTTTTGTAACGGCAAAGTTCCCTGCTGCTAAATATATTCATAGCCCTTCGCGTATTCTAAACATAAGTTTTAACATTGCTTCGAAGGTATCCGAAGATAAGAAAAATACTTTCCATTATCTCGGAAATATGTTCGTATTTTCGAAAATAACCGAAACGATCGACTTTTTTTATCAGAATTTTAGACAAAAAAAAAACAAAGAGATCCATCAAACACCCAATTACGAAACACGATGGCTTGAACGCCACGACTGCGTTCATATTATTAGCGAGTCAATTGATTAAATTATAGAAGGACATGCAGCAATTGTGGAGGATGGTAAGATAATGGTATTCAATAAGTTCAATATTATGTTAATATGTACATCTATATCTATAAGAGGAAAATGTTTGTATGTTTGTTTGTTTGTTTGTTTTTTTGTTTGTAATTTATGGACTCGAAAACCGCTGAATAGATTTTCCTGAAAATTTCCATATATACTGCAACATCGCCTGAAAGTAACATAGGCTATATACATTTTTGAATTTCCACTTGGAACTGGAGATATAGCATCAGAATCGGAGGTACCTCCCAAAAATTTAGATTTTATATGCACATATCTATTGAAGATACAGTCTCCAAATTTGAAATACGTAACGGAATTTGGAACAAAAATAAGTTTGCCAAATTATATTGTAATCGGTTCAGATTTGGATATAGCTCCCATATATATTTTCGACCGATTTCGTTCATTTGATGCCTCAAACACAATATGAATGTTCGATTCCAATGAAATTCGGCATGAGTGGCTAAATTTGGTACAAAAATAAATTTGACAAATTATATTCAAATACGCTCAGATTTGATTATAGCTCCCATATATATACTCAGCCGATTTCACATATCTGATGCACCCAAAACGAGAGAGACAAAATCTGGCACCAGAAAAAATTGCCAAATTATATTAAAATCAGTTGAGGTTTGGATATAGCTAACATATATATTTCGGCCGATTTCATACATGTTATGCACCAAAAATGATATATATGACCGATACCAATGAAATTCAGAATGTGTGGCGGAATTTGGTTACAATAATAAATGTGACAAATTAATTGGAAATTAGTTAAGATTTGGATATAGCTCCGATATTATCGGCCGATTTCACATATTTGACGCAACAATTTCAATGAAATATGAAAGGTGTGGCGGAGTTTGGTGTAAAAGTAATTTTTTTAAAATTATATTTAAATCGGATCAGATCAAATCAAATCGGATCAATTTCAATGAAATATGAAAGGTGTGGCGGAGTTTGGTGTAAAAGTAATTTTTTTAAAATTATATTTAAATCGGATCAGATTGGGATATGATTTTAATAAGAACCAGTGACCCACAACGCCTTAGGCTATCACTAAAAAACAACACAACAATTGATTTGAAATACGCTTATTACGGCGACGTATGTTGCTATCTCGAATTCACTAATTGCAATAGAAATGCCACTCAACTTCAAAAGATTGCAGTTTACTGCACGCTTGGTATTTGCTATGAAATAAATAAATTCGAAGGACAAACCCTTCGTGTATCTATGTCATATTACTGCTTTTCTAATGGTTTTGGTTATTTACGTATTAAAGTAGTGAAATAATTTTTTTTTAATTTTTAAATTTGTTTTTTTTAACCAACATATATTCGTAAAAAAATTTTGAATGCATATAAAATCAAAAGGGGAAGCGAAGCGCACCGGGTTCAGCTAGTACATTTATAAATATCTATGTATTTCGAAAGAAAACCAATGCGAAAGAAAACCCCCAATTCTATGTGAATTTTTCAAAGTTGTACACCTTATAACACTATGTGTTGAGAGTACCAGGGCCCACGATGTTACATATATATCTTTTTATCTCGCCGTGCTGGGTCGACCCAGCTATTTTTGTCCGTTCGTCTGACCATGTTGATTAGGATCACACTACAGGTCGCATTTGTTCTCACAACAAATTCTCGACGATTCTCACATATACATAGTCGCGCCTCTGACCACAATATTGATGCTAATTTCGTTGAAGGACATATTTAAAAATTCGAAGATGCAGCAGCATCATATAGAGGAATCTAAATTTGAAAATAGCACGACGTAAAAATAGGTCAAATGCCACGATAACTTGCACGAAGCTCCATTAATTGTCAATTAATACATTTTATCATGGTAGAATTACGAAGGTATAGTCGTGCAATCGTTTGTTTACTTTTTTTTCAAAACTATTTGAGAACATCTCATTGTCAAAATGTATATTTATAAATCCATTGTACATACTCAAATCAGAGATGGGAACCTTCTTTCTATGCCGTAAAATTTGACAAGGTAATTTACAGAAAATGCAGAGATGGGAATGTTTTTTTTTTTTTTTAAATTACTTTACCTTCTCAATTTTACCATGCATTTTATATTGACCCTTTCCATTGAAAAGTAGAGGACAAACCTTGTATTTCGATTGATTGTTTTAAAAAGTCCAACATAATATAATGTTACATAGTACCACATGTTCGGCCTCGCGCGACAATAGCCTTTGTTTACTTGCTTTTGTGAAGATGTGAAGATTTTTATATTTAAAAGTTGCAATGATTCCTTGTCTTTCCTCAATAAGAAGAGCAAACTTTTAATAGGACTAATGTTAGGACAAATATTGCAACTTCCAAACATTGAATAGAGCTGGGAAATATTTTCATAGTCAATGGCGGCGTTAAAATTATTCAAATGTTTAATATTTATGGGAAAGGTATCAGATGGAGTGTTCCGGTAAATCTCATATTCACACTAGATCTGATGTAGGTGGAAGTCTAGCATTTTGCGTAGTAATGCAGTAAACATCAGTAAATTATTTTGCTTTTTATGAGAGTTATAATTCTTTCAAATTCTTTCTATCGGGGTGGAATCGAGATAAAATATTGAGCGAATAAGCGAAGATAGAAGCAAATCGTCTACACGCTTCGAATGTCGAGAGAATTACAATTATTCAATTATTATTGAGGGCGGTACAAAAAGGATGGGTCAATATTATCCCTCTCCGAATTAGATCTAATTTTGGCTATAATGTTGCGATGAATCAAGTTTGCACGCAATGGGATATTCCTTTCGACAGTTATCGAGCGAACCAGCCAGAGTGACAGACGGACGGACGAACACCGCTAGATCTACTCCAAATGTCCAGAAACGTTTTTTCGTCCAAAGAGACCGAGGGTACGTTTTGGTCGTAGCCATATGGCTAAGGGTATTAAAAACTACTAGAACCAAAACAGAACCCATGGTAAAACTAAGACTTCATCTTTGCATGTTCTACTATCTACCTTGACAAATTTCAATGCATAAAAAACAGGTTCCCATCTCTGGTTTGTATACATACAATGATTTTACCATGGATTTTATATATGTATATATATATATATATATATATATATATATATATATATATATATATATATATATATATATATATATATATATATATATATATATATATATATATATTTTTTTTTTTAAACAAATGGAAGGTGTTGTCAAATGAATAATATTGAAAAAATTGTAAACATATGATTGTATGACTTTACCTTCTTAATTTTACCATGACAGAAACGAAGACACATCAAGCGACTGGCATTGATACCGCGACGAAAGAATTCGAATGTGGCTCAATTCAAAACAATCAAATGGGAACCATGAACAATATAAGTCCAGATTCTTCTTTGAACTTGCCTCTTGCAATTTTGTTTTGTATTTTTTTTTAATCGATGACGCTTGACACAAAATAACGCGCATCGCGTCCGTACTGCTTAGCCCTTGAGATATAAACGTGTAACTAGTATCTACGAACACTTTTCCAGGAATAGGGTCGATAATGCAGGTCTTCTGCTTATCAACCGTTGCCAGGGAACCGAATGCGTTGCCAAGCACTGAAGCGTAATGCCTTGCAATACACCCAGCAGAGTTCATAATAGTTGAAGACACACATATTTTTCAGAATGGTATGTCGTAGGAAATCATAAAATTAGGAGCTATAAATTCCATCGACTTGATTCAATTGCAGATATTGTCACGCGGAAAAACTGACTCGGCGAATTCCCGGCACATACCCAGTGCCACGAGCTCAAAAAAATCCCCTCCATCTTTAGAGGACTTCATCATAAAAAGGGACTATACCGGAGCCAAGGCCTTCTTGGAGTTTGCCCGTGATTCAGAGGAAGAAGACAAACAAGTGGCTATCGACCAATGGATTGCCTTCTGCCACTTCCATTTGGGCGACTACCACAAAGCCCTGGAGGTGTATAGGCACATTAATGATGTGGAATCCCCGACGGAGGAAATTAATTTGAATGTGGCCGTGTGCATGTTTTATCTGGGAATGTACGACGAGGCACAGAAACTGATAGAGCTAATTCCGAACACCGCGCTTAAGCTGCGCTTGATGCTACACTTGGCTCACAAGTTTAACAACGAAGAGCAGGTGATGCAAATGCACGAATCTCTGCGGGACCAGGTGGAGGATCAGCTGAGTGTGGCATCGCTGCACTATCTGAGGGCCCACTACCAGGAGGCAATCGATATCTACAAAAGGTTGCTGCTTGACAACAAGTAAGTTCTATTAGACGTCCCCGCGAGAGCGGATGGCGAGCACACCAATAATCTCTCTCACTTACAGGGAATATGCCGCCATCAATGTATACCTGGCCCTGTGCTTCTACAAGCTCGACTACTATGACATGTCGCAGGAAGTGTTGGATGTATACCTGGGCAGGCATCCCGACAGCACCATAGCTATTAACTTGAAAGCGTGTAATCGTTTTCGGCTCTTCAACGGACGCGTAGCCGAACAGGAGATCAAGAACATTGTCGATAACGGAACGTTTGGGGCGGATCTAATACGGCACAATCTGGTTGTTTTTCGTAATGGCGAGGGTGCCCTGCAGATTTTCCCCGCTCTGTTGAATATTGTGCCAGAGGCTCGTTTGAACTTGGCAATATTCTACCTTAAGAGTGGCGATGTCCAGGAAGCCCATGCCCTAATGAAGGAGGTGCAACCAAGTGTTCCTCACGAGTATATCCTCAAGGGGGTGGTGCACGCGGCGCTGGGTCAGCAGTTGGGTTCGGTAAAGTATTCACTCTCTTCCCGACAAGGACTTTATAATAATACTACCCTCTGTAATGTAGAAGGAGCACATAAAGACTGCCCAGCAAAATCTCCACTTAGTTGGCAGTTCTGCCACCGAGTGCGACACCATACCCGGAAGACAAAGCATGGCGTCGGCTTTCTTCCTCTACGGCCAATTCGAAGAGGTTTTGGTCTATATGAATTCGATCAGAAGCTATTTCGTCAACGATGACACGTTCAACTACAACTACGCCCAAGCCAAATGCGCCACTGGCTATTACAAAGAGGCCGAAGAACTGCTACTCCAAATAACGGACACTGACATTAAAAACCAACACACCTATTGCATGATACTGGCCAAATGCCACATACACGCCGGGAGGCCAGAACTGGTGAGCATTGCCATGCATTTTTTTTAATTTTTTTAATCCTGACATCCATACCCATAGGCGTGGAACATATTCATAACAAGGGATACGAATTCCGAAGCATTTCTGCTGCTGCAACTAATCGCCAATGAGTGCTACAAATGCGAAGAGTTCTGGGTGTCGGCCAAGGCCTTTGATATGCTGGAAAAGTATAAGTCCTTTCCATACCTTCCAACTGTGACCAAATAATCTTTTGCGTTTCCCCATTTTCCTAGGCTTGATCCGAGTCCAGAGAACTGGGAGGGCAAACGAGGTGCCTGTGCCGGCGTCCTGTATGTACTGGCAACCAAGGCTGAAAAAGGACGACCCCTCAATGGCATCACCGACGTCATCGGCCTGCTCAGAGACTCGTCCAACGGCCAAGCTGAGGCCATGATCAAAACAATACGCAAGCACATGTCAGCCTTCAAGTAGGGCAAGTGCAACAATGTGCCGGGCCGTAGCTGTGTTTCTGACAGATCTGGCTGAACAATCACTTGAATGAATATTTGCAAATAAAACAAAACAAAGCGACTACACACAGTATTTATTTTATTTCCCAGTCCCCTTCCTCCGCAGAGCTCCTTTGGGGGCAGAAGCACTAGCAGAGTGGAGCTATGGCAATGTCAGCCAAGCATGCTTCAGAGAAGTCATCATTATTTGTCAAATAAATGGATAAATATGGAAATGATAAATAAAACCCACTTCGTAGGTGTTGTCTACCGGCAACGGGGCGAAACAATCTAATGATGACGAACAGACACAGGCACACGAACGCTCCCCGACCACCCCCAGTCACCATGAGTGAACGGATGGATGTGCTAACAGCGGTGTTTATTTGTTGTGGCGCGTGATTTTCATCCTCCAGTCCTTTTCATCGGGCACTGATAGGTGTTATTTTGCTGTCACTGTTTCGAATGCAGATGGCGATAAAGCATTCACAACGTCACCTACGACGAAGGACAAAACTCCCGAATGTGACTGGCGTGCATCGTCCTTAGTCTGCGATGATATCTGGCATTTCATTATCGACTCTGATATTTCTTAAGCACTAGCGATTCCAAATGTTGAACCGTTATGGGGGAGGTAGCAATATGAGGGGGCAACTTTGTCCATTTCGCATCTGACCTAAGTCTATGTTTAAATATAACAAAGTACCAGGTTTGAACTATATTGACTACTTCCTTCACTTTAAATATAGATATGTTTTTTTTGTTATATGGTAGAGGTAGCAGAATGAGTGGGTCAATCCCATATTCAAACTATATCTTCTGTTTGTAGATGTAGTGTGGGTGAGGATCCAGAAGAAGTGGTCCGCTATATGCTATCTTCGCCCCAGATCTTGGGTTTGTAGAAATATTACAATGTTCGAAATGTACGGACTCTTTCTTCTCCTTAAGGATTGTTCAAATTTGTAACTCTTTCGAAAGGGAGGAACTACAAAGAATGTACCGATGTTTTCCATTTTCGCACCAGACCTAATACTGACACAAATATAAGGATTTGCAAATCAGATAATCCATCCACTTTCTATGACGTCATTTATTATTTTTGAAAATGTTGATCTTTTGTGGGGGAGCTACCAGAAGTAGAGGACAAATATAGTTCAACTTCGAACTCGATCTAAGAATTGTAAAAATATTATAATGTACCAAACTTGGACCGAATCGGATACTCCCTTTGAGAGTTATAGTGCGCACTAAACAGACAGACAAACGGACTCCTCAAGATCGACCCGGATGGCTTGAAACTGATTTGTCCCACTGTAGCCCGATAGTTGAGGCTATAGTCGTGCGGGGCCGACCATGTGATACCCTACAACACTACAATATGTTAGAAGCACCCTTATGTCCAAGTCCATTTTGAAATTTTGTCATGGAGCACTGCCCAGATATTGCCCTTACCATTTTGACCAGGGACATTTGCGCACTCTTTGATTTGATATTTGCGGTCATCTTTGAAAACAATAGCTCTTCTGAGCCTAACCCTACCCTTGTGAAAAATTTTGTGAAGATCGGACGATAAATGCAATCTGTATATAATAACCCCAACCCGTGTTGTAAGGTGAAAAAATTTTACAAAATGTACATTTCAATATTATAAGTCAAATTGAAAAAATCGCATGCGATAAAAAATATGAAAAAATAAAAAAATGCTACAAAATCTATAATAACACCATTATTGGCACATTTTTATGCGATTTTTTTAGATTTTATTCTCTTATGCCAAGAGAGCATTCTGAATTGACATAATTTGTCAAAATCGGTCCAGCCATTCTTGAGATATAAGCATTTTAGCTAACATCCCTCCCATTGTATATGTATTGTACATATTTCGCTATATATATCCGATATATTTACTATCGGCATCTACGAAACGGTCAGGATTGACCTGTTCGTCTTTTTGTGATTTCGCCGGGATTAAAAATATTCGCGGTTTAATGAAAAATTTGATTTATTTAAGTGTCATGGCCTTTTCACCTACTAAATATTACCCGATTACCATCAAAATTGGAAGACTTCTGCCCAGCCTTAAGCTCTAGCCACATGCCAACTTCCGAGTCGATTGGTCTGTAACTGCGATCTATAAAGCAACTGCAAAATCAGGAATTTTTTCAGTATTTGGTCCATTTCAACGCCTAAATATTATGCGATCATCTCCAAAAGAAATAGGGTTCTATTCTGGCCCAAACCCCACCTCCATTCTAAATTTCGTAAAGATCGGACCATAATTGCGACCTGTAGAGTGATTACAAATTAAAATCAAAAATTAAATTAAAAAATCAGTGTTACAGATATTTTCTAGATTTATCTTTCTACGAGTTCCAATTAGGTGATGTGTCTCGTGCAATTCCACAATTGTTGCGTAGTTACCCCAAAAATCTGTAAAAGCGTCTAAATACATACGGAATAATCAGTCGGACTGCCGACGAGAGTAAACATACTCCAGTAGCCATGAGGCTGAGGCCATAATGAAATTTACGAAATCGAAAACAACTTCAATTTGCAAGCCATTGACCATTTGAACCAGATCTTACCGATGAAGTTCTGAGAGTATACCTGTATGGACACACATAAATCACTGAAACGCCTATCTCAAATGCCATGGGTACTCCACGAATCGCTCGGAGCTACTTCATCAAGTGAAACGCAAACATACTTTATATCTTTCTTACAGCTCCTTTTCGGTTTTTCACTAGACAACGAGGAAATCATTCCCCTTTCAAAGATTCCTCTGCCGTTGCTGCCAACCACCTGGTAAAGTACACAGAAAGGTTTACCTTGGAACACTCCCTCGCAAAACTTTTGCACCGAAAGCACAGCATAGCAGCAAATAAAAAGGAAAACTATTAATTTGCATGATTATCGTTTCCAACATAAATTCATTTAAGGATATTTAGTTTTTCCTTGTCGCAAGCGAAGGACGAAATGCACGAGAACCGAGCTCTCAAACAACAATGTTTGCCCAAATACACAACCCAAAAAGTCAGCAAAAAGAGCTGGATGAACGAACGCACCGGTGTGGAGCAGTTCCTCGAGTATGTGGCATTGCTGCAACGACATAAAATAAACAAACTTTTAAATTCCATTAAGTGCTATAAATTTTGTAACTGATAGGGCGAGCCGATATGAACCAACTTTATGGTGGGTGCCCGTCTGCACAGATACACCACCCACAGTACCCCCGTCCCCCCATGGCTACAAGTGTGTGTACCAATGCACAAACAGACGCACACTGGCGAGTTCGGCTAATGCGACGAAGTGGCAAACAGACACAGGTTGAACACGTGCATGCTGTGCTGAGTAACGGATTTGTTTAATTTCTTAAAGAAGTTTCTGGCTGGCGCATAGAGGTGGGTGGGGCGGTGGCGATTGGGGTGGCATGGTGAAGTGACTTCAACAGTCGTACTACTCTCCCAACAAAAAAATACAAAAAACAAAAGTGCCGGCATTCATTCTGTTCTGGCGGCTTGAATAAATTGGAGGGTAATGGGAGTGTTCGAAGGTATTTCTTGCTCCAATGCCAAAACTTTGTAGACGATTTTATGTTTTGCGCTGCACTTATGCTCCGAGCCATCATTGCCTTTGCCATGATCGCAATTACATTTTCTTAATTCCAATTAAATTTGCCGCGAATACGACGAAAGTCTTTATTAGCCACGTTCTTGAAAGTTGATGCAAAAGCCAGTGTAAAGTCATCAACCAACTATCGCTGCAGTGCACTATGGTACCTGCCTGCCAGCGACAAGAAAAAAGAACAAAAAAGCGATGACTACAAATCGCTGTGTACATAGTATCGAACCTTTTCTATAATTCGCACCTAATATTTTAATTGTTGAATGCTATCCGTATTTGGTAGGTAGCTCCATGGTCATGGTATAATTATTAGAAGGTAACTAAGGTAAGGTAAAGGTAACTAACGTTTTGTAGAATTGCCAACTTTACTACCAACAAATATAGCATTTTCAGATTAAATGAAACCTTTTGCAATTCAAATGAAACCTTTTGCAGCCGAAATGAAACCATTTGCAACCGAAATGAAACTTTTTGCAAATCAAATGAAACTTTTAAATTTATAGAAGGAAAAATAACAAAACATTTTTATTTTTAGTAGTTTTTAAATTAAATCAATTAATTAGAAAAAGAGGATTTTTATTGATTATAAATATCTACATTTATTTATATTATTTCTTAAATTTTCAATTATTGTAATAACAAATGGTTCTTTATTGATTTGATATAAAATGCTTCCATATTATAAATTCCAAATGCTTAACGCTAAAAAGAGAAATTTAAACAAATGTTGGCCTTTATAGGGATGGCCAGGACTGAAAGGTGAAATTAAATCAACTATGATCATGATTGTATATACTTTATGGGGTCTACGACGAATATTTAGAGGTGTTACAAACGGAATGACAAATTTAATATATCCTCTTTCCATGGAGGAGATTATAAAAATGTACCTAATTCGGGTCCTTTGAAAAAAATACCTTGAAAAACTTTTTTCAATCTTTCTGCATCTATATTGTGTTTTATGGAAGCTTTAAGAAAAAAAATTATAAAAACATAGGTATTAATAATCAATAAAATTCCTCTGTAACTATATATTAGTTATAATTAGTTGATTTAATTTTAAACCTACTAAAAATAAAAATGTCTTGTTATTTTTCCTTCTAAAAATCTAAAAGCTTCATTTGATTTGCAAAAAGTTTCATTCCGGTTGCAAAAGGTTTCATTCCCGCTGCAAAAGGTTTCATTTCCACTGCAAAAGGTTTCAATTCCACTGCAAAAGGTTTCATTCCCGCTGCAAAAAGTTTCATTTGAATTGCAAAAGGTTTCATTTAATCTGAAAATGCTATATAAAGTTTCATTACAATTTAATGAAATTGAAAACAGAGAAGAAATTATTTTTTGAAGAAGAAAAATGTGGTCTCAGACGGCCAAGATGATTCATCTCTCACCTCTTTGATAATATTCGTATTGGATTTTTCAAGTGACATAACTATTGCTCTCTGCCATCAATCTTCCACTTGATA